GATAGCGTAAAATGAAACATAGACGTTTTTATATCGTCATCCGATATATATCATTATATCGAACAGCCCTATTTAAAACCAGATCAAGCAATTTAAAAAAACAGAGGTACACTTGCAGTTGGCTGGTTAATTTGAAGTACCATGTGCACAACTAGTGTTTGTTCATGTTTTCGAGAACTGAAACATTTAAAATGCGATTGATGTCTAACTCCTTTGTTTTGATGATCTTTACAAAGGAAAATACATGCTGAAGAAGTCTCGCCGCACAGATGTGGAAGACCTGACTCCCAATCCACGCAAGCTGCTGCAGATCGGCACAGAGCTTCGTAAACTGAACAAGGTGATCAGCGACTTGACTCCTGTGAGCGAGCTACCACTGACTGCACGGCCACGCTCTCGCAAGGAGAAAAACAAGCTGGCCTCCAGGTAAACCACGCATTCATGTGTTCGCTGTGTACACATGACAGCTGGAGAACAGCCATATATAAAGTCCTGATGACTGCAACAGTATTATTTTCAAAAAGTTTTACCCTCTCGAGCCTGATTGTAATAAAGATGCTGATTTGAAAATAACCTTTGTTTCTCAGTGAGATCCTCTTTCCTCCTATTGATTAGAAACTCTTCTTTCTGTCTGTGTGTTTCAGAGCTTGCCGTTTAAAAAAGAAAGCCCAATACGAAGCAAATAAAGTGAAGCTCTGGGGACTCAGCACAGAGTACGGTACGTTGACTCTGACGCTACGTGATCTAAATCTTTACTAGAAACAACATCTGCAAGTATTTTTTCTTGCACTGTTGGCAGTTCAACGGAAACTTAATAGACAATGATGACAGTGACTGTTATGACATTTTACTTTTTTCTTTTTTTTCTTTTCTTTGTCAGATTAGAAATAAGATCATGATTGATAACAATAACTAAATAACTGCTCATACTTTTTTTTTTTACAATTTTAAAAAGAATTGTTACAGTGTGTAACCAGAAAACAAAAGCACAGAATTTTTTGTGAATAATCTGTGGTCAAACTGGTGTTTTCCTGCAGACCGGCTGTTGTTTGTGATCAACGCTATCAAAGAGGAGATAGTGGAGCGAGTGGAGGACTCTTCTCCGCGTCCAACCAACATGTCTGACACTCTGGAGAGACTCATAAAGGAGACACTTGGTGAGAATCGAAAAGAAACACAAGTTAAGCCCGTATTATGCTTTCTGGGGTTTTATCACTTTATTTTAGTGTTGAAGCTTTTTCTTTATACATGCAGATGTTCTGCATATTCACAAAGCCCAAAATCCATGTCAACAGGAGTTTTTATCTTCAGTGTGCCTCAATTGCTTGAAACAACTCGTGAGTCGTGAGGGAAAAGATCCCTGGCTGAAAGTAACATTTAGACAGCATCTGAACACATACAGTGTCTCACAAAAGTGTGAGTACACCCCTCACATTTGTGTAAATATTTTATTGTTTCTTTTCATGGGACAACATTGAAGATATGACGCTTTGATACAATGTAAAGTAGTCAGTGTGCAGCTTGTGTAACAGTGTAAATTAGCTGTCACCTCTAAATAACTCAGCATACAGCAATTTATGTCTAAACCGCTGGCAACAACAGTGAGTACACCCCTAAGTGAAAATGTCCAAACTGTTCCCAAAATGCCAATGTTTTGTGTGGACATCATTATTTTCCAACACTGCCTTATTTTCCATCACTATAGAGCTTCACAGGGTGCCACTGGGATCCTCTTCCACTCCTCCATAATGACATCATGGAGACACATTTTGCTCCTCCACCTTCCATTTGAGGATGCCCCACAGATGCTCAATAGGGTTTAAGTCTGATGACATGCTTGGCCAGTCAAGTACCTTTACCCTCAGTTTATTTATCAAGGCACTGATCTTTTTGGAGGTGTGTTTGGGGTTGTTATCTTGTTGGAATACTTTCCTGTGGCCCAGTTTCTGAAGGGAGGGGATCATACTCTTCTTGAGTATGTCACAGTACATGCTGGAATTCATGGTTCCCTCAATTAACTGTAGTTTCCCTGTGCCAGCAGCACTCATGCAGCCCCAAATAGTGACGTCCCACCACCATGCACCATCATGCAAGGCAAGACACACTTGTCTTTGTACTCCTCACCTGGCTTCCGCCACACACCACTGACATCATCTGAAACAAATAAGTTTATCTTGGTCTCATCAGACCACAGGTAATCCCCCCTGAGACTGCTTGTCTTCAGCAAACTGTTTGGAGACTTTCTTGTGCATTATCTTTAGAAGAGGCTTCCTTCTGGAATGATAGCCATTCGATGCACCTCCAACCTCTGCAGCAATGCTGGCAACATCTATTTTCAAATGACAGCCTCTGGATATGACACGAGCACGTGCACTCAAGTTCTTTGGTCAACCATGGCGAGGTTTGTTCTGAGTGGAACCTCTCCTGTGAAACTGCTGCATGGTCTTGGCCACCGTGCTGCAGCTCAGTTTCAGGGTGTTGGCAATATTCTTATAGCTAGGCCGTCTTTATATAGAGTAACAATTCTTTTTTTCAGGTCCTCAGAGAATTCTTTGTCGTGATGTGCCATGTTAAACCTCCAGTGACCAGTACGAGAGAGTGCGAGAGCAATTCAGCACACCTGTTCCCCATTTGAACCTGAGACCTTGTAAAAGTAACGTCTTACGTGACACCAGGAAGGGAAATGGCAAATTGGACACAATTTGGACATTTTCACTTAGGGGTGTACTCACTTTTGTTGCCAGCGGTTTAAGCAATAATGGCTGTGTGTGAGTTATTTAGAGGTGACAGCAAATTTACACTTTTGTTCAGCCGCACACTGACTAGTATCTTCAATGTTGTCCCATTAAAAGATTTGACAAAATATTTACAAAAATGTGAGGGGTGTACTCATGTTTGTGAGATACTGTCCAAATGCAAGCACTGCACTAAGCTACATCTTTGCTATCATAATGACCGCACAGCTGAAACGGTCACCAGACATCATCAACAACACAAATATAAAATCTTTTTGTTTTTAGAGTCGGGGACAGTGCAGGAGCAGGACGGCCGCCATCTTGACCGGCCGAATATTTCTATTCAGGACTCTTTGTCTCTGGTTACAGTTAGTAACCGACACTCTCTCTTGCCTCTTTTGCTGGAAATATAACAGAAACCTTTCAAGTGAGAAAAGAGAAACAAGGGTTACTGCTAGTAAGCTCTCAAGGCGTAAAGAGTCAAAGATACATTTTTAACTTTTAGTACAGCTACAGCGATTTTCAAGGTTAGAAAAACGAATGTTCTTTGAACATTAAACCATGTAAAACCTAAAATGCAGGACCCCAAATGAAATCATGGACCTCTAAGTTAGCATAATATGGTCTTTTTACAGTTGACTGGCCACCAATCAATGAGATACTGTAGTTTACGGTGACTGTGAACGATGACTAAGAATAACTTCAAAAACATTTTAAAGACCATCAGAATTAAATTCATTGCAAAACTATCAAATATATTTGATAATGAATAATTGATATAATCAATGATGTATCAAAGTGATAACCACAATAAATAGGCAGATGCATTGATTATATTTATCACCATATCCAGTCAGCTATAACCTTCACAATTAGATAAGCTGAGTACAAGCATGCAGCAAAATTGGAAACATAAACAGTCCTCCAATTAAATAAAAGAGTAATAAAGATGCTTTCTACGCAATGAAAAATAAAATCAATAAATAATAATAAATTAATAATCCTAATGATAGCAGCTTTAATGGCTCAGGTAGGCAGTGAAATTGATCGATACAGTAGACGTATATTGGTTCAGTTGAAAGTAAAAGTTAACTTTACTTTTAGTATTTAGTATAAACATGTTCTAATGTATCTTTGTATCTGTGTGTGCAGTGCCATCACCTGTTGCTGGGCAGACTTCAGACTTCGTCAACAAGATCTTGGAGAACACAGGACGCGGCGATCCCACCGGCGGACTGGTCGGCCTGCGAGTCCCCACCTCCAAAATCTAGACAGGCCGCCTTCCACTGAGAGCAGTGGACTCAGTATTACGATCGTGCTGTCCTGTTGTAACTATGCTCCCCTCTGCATGCCCCTACAACCCAGACTTTCATGCACATTGTTAGTCACACAAACACACATACCACTTCCTGTGTGTAGGTATGTGTGCTTGTTTTTGCCATGTCATCTGTATGGCATACACCCTAGCTTTCTGGCTCTGCGCACTGCGTGCAGAATCAGCGCATCACAGTTCTCCCAACTCATTGTGAACGTCCGTTGGGGAGGAAAAGCGCCTCTAAAAGCAAGTGATGGTTAGGTGTATAGCTAATAGCACGTCCTAAATCCACTGGTGATGATTAGATGTGTTTAACATAGCATTGTGTAGGGTTGTTTCTGTTGGAGGCTGAGACAAACAGCCGCATGAGCGTAACCACTGGAATACTTTCACACGTTTGTTTGAGGTTGTAGTGACAAAGGACGAATTTACATGAAAAAAGTTCCAGTTATCATTTCTCAGAAGACTTTCACCTCACAGGGCAACAAAAGTGGACTTGAGGTTGTCAAATGAACCCAATCGAGTAAAGCACCTTGATGAAAATGGCCTTGTAAGCTGCAGTGGAAAAAGCGGCTTGTTCCGAGGCGTTACGGGGTGGCAAGAAATATTTTGTATTGAAGGCCTAAATATGTTCATGCCATCCCTGCGAAACAATAAAGCTGAGAGTTATCATTAGAGCTTTTATTAAGCGAGAGGCGTCCTGCTGGTTTGAAGCTTGTGTCAGGCAGGAGGAAGCTTAACGGCTCATAGTTGACCATGTGAAGAGGAAGCGCATGTAGCATGGTGCTTTTTGGCCTTTGTGCTGGTTATAACTGGACTGCGTGGAACAGACCAGTGTGGGATCAGACAGAAAGTGAGGAAGATGATGATGGTGGTGCTGTTGGCGGCGATAGAGATGACATAAACAGTGATCCATCTCCTCCAGGAAACTGTAAATAACTGTGTCTCCCAGCGAACGGCACCGGCTTCCCTTTTTTGTACAGTAGAGACGACCAGGCAGTTTGGTGTGTTCATACTAGTGTTTGATCAGAGTTCTATTCATTGTGCCTTGTGTATGTATGTGTGTGTGTGTGTGTGTGTGTGTGCGCGCGTCTCCGTAAGAGTGAGTGAGTGTGAGCGGGGCTGAACGAGGAGAGGTGATCGGCCAGAACTCCCAGCCTAGGAAAGGACTACTTATAGCGAGTGCGATGAGGGACACGCTGGTGGAGATTGTTGTGTCTTTCAGCTGTTTCGAAGATATTCTGAATGTACATAAACAAATGGAAGCTCTTGTCGCGTGATGCCACAGAGTCTGTGTATATAGGAGGGCTCTGCAATAGATTACTTTTGGTTTTTGGTACTTTCGTCTTTGGGGATTTTTTGGGGGGGGGGGGGGTTTAATGATGACAGATATTTTTCTTTTAGAGTTACAAAAAAATATTTGCACACTATCTTTTGATTATGTTTTGTACCAAAGACACATGCAACGAAATGGCGACCAGCCAGTTAAAGTAAGGTTTTGCACAGCTTACCTGACGCCGTATTGAATGTAAGATTTGTGGGAGGGTCAGGGACTTCATAGAACTGTGAAATTAGCTTGGGTCCAATTCTGTACAGAAAAGGAACATTCATTTGCTTCTTCTTCTTATTTTATTTTATTTTTTTAATCTAAAATTGAACCCCTCTGTTGGCTTCTCCAGTAGATTTATTGCTTAAGGAAGCCCTTCATTCCTGAACTGATTCCTCCCTCCACCTGCTCATTGTGTTAATGGCGCTAGCTAGGATGAATACCAAGAGTGCTACTAGATAAGCTATGTTACAATTTTCTTTTCTTCTTCTTCTTTTTTTTTTGCTTGTTAAAATTTCTCAAACAGTAACCAAAATCTTGTGTTCCTGTATCACTTGTTTGATTTCTGTATGTAGATGAGGTCTATAGACAAATATATTAACTGAATATTGTACATAGAAACATTAATGATATATCTATGAATGGTGAAACGCCACTTTTCATGACAATTGATTCATTTTTAAGCATGACACATTTCTAAAGCCTATCCTTGCTTTGAGAAAGTTAGAGTACAACAAAAAACCCAACACAAAAACCAAAAAAACATGCTCTTGTTATATTTTTGTATTTTAGCTGCCTGCTAGATTTCCCGTTGGTTTGGGAGTGTTTGTTGGTCACAGGTGGAGGTGTTTGGCTGATGGTTTGATCTATAAGCTCCACCATTTCTGTTATTCTTAGCTGGCTGATTTGAAATACAGAGAATCAAGACAGGATTTATATAAAACACAATGCCGCGAAGTGCTGGTCTACTTTGAGGGGTCTGTGAGGGGGAACGTTGAAGTGCCGCTGTCGGCGGTTCTAGCGTGAGAGCAGATAAGGAGCGAGATACAGTGTTGTGTCAGATGGTGTAAGAAAGCCAGAGCCATCTGAGTGTGGCTGATCTGGATTCAGCGCTGTCGTTTAGATTTTCATGCATACAGCAGCGTGCAAAAGTCTCGGCGCAGATGATCTAACTGATCTAAACAAACAAAAAAAAGACAAGCAATGTAAAGAACTCTAATCATGCAAATTAATAATCTACATATAATACTCGGAATCAGTGTAACAACAATTTAAAAAAAAATCTGGTTGACACTCATTTTTACTCCAAGCGGCATCATTACTGCCACCCACTAAGCTGAAGTAGATTTATGTGGTCGCCTTTTTTTGCTGAGGAAATTCAGCCCTAATAAGAAAGAAAATACACTTATCAGGCTACAGCTTCACCTTTTGGTGTCATTTTGATATAAGAGGAAAATAAAAAGATAATCATTCCATCTTTAACTTTATGCCTTTTCATATTAGTCCGCTATACAGAGTAAAACTTGCCCAGACTTTTGCATGCTGTTGTATTCTGTCTTGAAGCATGAAGCTGGTTGAATTGTGTATTTTCCTGAGATGGTCATCGCTGCCTCTGGCCTTGCTTTGCTGAATTGAATCTCCATTAGTCATATCCTTCCTGACTGGTCACAGACATAAAGAATAACTTTGGTTACCAGTTACGGTAAAGTCCTTTAAGGAGATGCTACCTATTCTGGGAATGTTTCACAATTCAAGCAGAATTGATTTATTTGGAGGTCATATTAAAACGAGAAAAATGTGAATTTGACAAAGCTGAATTCAGACTGGCGTGACGTGAGTCTGCTGATGATAAAGTTTGTGTTGTGTGACTGAATAACAGCTAGTGCTACACACACACACACACACACACACATAGATTTTTTTACTGTTTTCCGTTCCGTCTAAAAAGGGAGAAATGGTGCTTTTTCTGAAACTAGAATGACGAGTATCCATGATTCATATTTGATTCTTAGACTAGTTGTAGCCTAATGACTTGCTCTCCCCTTACCGTCCATAGCTATTTTCTTAGTAGTGATTCAGTTTTGTAAATAAACTATAAGTTAATATGTATCTTCTAAATGTTAAATATATGTATAGAATACTCTATCTTATATGTTTAAAAAAACCGAAAGCACTTTGTCCAAAAAAGAAAAAAAAAAAAAAACAAAAAGAAAAGAAAAGAAAAGCATTTTTTTCTCTTCCATTTGCTGCTAAATGGCCTGGCGTGAATGCTGCAAGTGTACTTGACGACTACTTGCTTGGATAGGTCTATTGCCTGACTCTGCTAGGTCTGTAAACTAGCGAGGGGCAGGTGTACGACCTGACGAGGGTTAGATCTACACATTTCTGGAGCCATGACATGATATGAGCGCACAAGAGCGTACCATTGCATGGCTTTGGGAAGCCCAGTGTCTTGACAGGATAGGTCTATTTCCTGGTCAGGGACCGAGTGAAAGTATGTTTGTGGTCTTAAAAGAAAACAAAAATTATAAAAAAAAAAAACCTTAAAAAAAAAAACAAGAGGGTTTTGATTCCAGGGCCCCTACGTTGATCTTGATGCTGACCCCCTTGGCGTCACGATTCATTTGCCTTCAGTAGAGGTTTCCTATGGAAAAACTGATTCTGCTTTGGCTTCCTCTTCAGGGTGATGTACAGTGTAGACACATTTCTTCAGAGAGCTATATTGTTATCATTTGTAAACTGATTTCTACTTGTGACTTATTGAGGAGGAGGGTTTAGCCTGGGGCGGCCAGGAAGAGCTTGTTTGAAAGACGTTGTTCCCGGCCGCCTTGGGGGAAGTTACTATATCACTGTACTGTATGGCAAGCCAATTACAAATGGAGACTCAATCCGGACACTTATTGCCTTCTTAAATAACTTTTCACACACAAACAAAAATAACAACATGGCAGACAAGTCGGCTGCCCAGAGTGGGGGGGGCCTAACATTGTTCTGCCGATATGGTAAACAACAACAACAACAAATCAATTCAGCCTGACTGGCTCAAAACAACCTTGACTAAAGTAGCAGACGTGATGAAATGTATCTGAAAGAAAATGACTCCAAAGGTTTGAACTGCTTTGGAAGCGATGCTTTCGGGTATAATTTCATCCAGGTCTGGCAAGGGGTCAACAGTGGTTGAAGGGCCGCTGGTTGACGGCCGGCTGACAAGAGAAGCGTGCGTGTGTTTTGCTGTCGATCACAAGGCTGGTTACAAGAAAGAGTCCTCACAGGTTTTTACATTTAACAGAATAGGCGCAAGCTGTGCAACTTTACATTCAAACCAGGAGACTCTGTGGCATTTTAACAGTTAAGGAAATGAGTGAAAATCCACGCCAGTAAAACTATTCCTTTTATTCTTTTCTGTTTTTTTTATTTTTATTTCTGATTACATAAATCCTATACAGTCAAATATTAAGCTAATAGAGTGTGTAACTTTGTGCTACTCTTGTCCAATAAAAGCTACGTGGATCCATAAAGCTCTTCTTCAGCAAATCAGGGTAATATCGTTCTTCTATCTGACATATGTGATGACATATAAAAATCAAAAGAAAGTATATTTATGTATTCCAATTATTGTCGCCATTCTTTACTCTGTACAAAATATTGTGCGTACTGTATGTGTGTGAGAGAGTGTGTGTGTGCGTTATGAATCGTTAATGTCAATCACTATGGTGCAATGCTCTATAAAAGTTAAAAGCAAAGGCCAACAGACTTGTTACAAAAAAACTCACAAAATGTCACCGTTTTGTCCAAATTTGGTCTTCTTGCAAACACAATCTGCAGCATCTTCCTCTCTGAATGGTTTCCACTCTGATTTCCAGTCGTGATCCAGCTGGGGTTTGTCACATGGTGCTGATTACGCCTCGTTGTCCCGAGAAATGCTACGAGGATTTATAAAAAAACAAACAAAAAAAGCACCCGTATTCAGATGTGCTTACAGAAAACACTCTCCGTGTGACCATTTCATTCAGTGTAACTATGATCAGATCAGATTTCCGCCCAGATCACTTTCACTGACTCACTGTCGGACCAATCAGAGGAAGAGTTGTACTGTTTCTTGTTTAAAACAACAACACCGTTTCTGTGCTATCGACTTGTATGATCGTTGTTGTTAAGCGTACCAATACTTCTTTTGTAAAAGCCAGTCTCACGGATTTGATACCACCGCTCAAAGCCACAGAGGTTCTGTTAAAGATCACGTGGATGTAGCTTCATTCAGAAAGAGCAGTTTTGAATGAGTGCAATTAAGTGCATAGAAGTGCTCTTGAGATGGTTTTTTATAGGGTAATGCTTTGTTTTACAGTGTGTAATAATTTCCAAAAAAATGTCCAGTTTCCTCCAGTACAGCTTTGTAATTTGGTGCTAATTCAGGAGAAAGTATTGAAATCATAAACTTCCAGTTATATTATTGGAGTCCAGCATGTCAGCTCAATGTGACATTTATCTATAGCCAGAATTATAAACAGTGATTATTTACTTGGACTAATCAGTTTGTCTACATGTAAACCCCTTTTTTTTAGGTTTTGCTTCGTGCTCATCGTCTCAGTTTATTGGCTGCAGTAGATGGCTGTCTGCTGCAGCCAACAACCGGTAGAGACCAAAACAGAGCTACAAGGACAGTCATGTGACCAGTTTTTCTTTGTTTTTTTTTTAAAAAAAGATCTTACCGTTCCCCTTTATTGGTACCAAAGTACATATGGTAATTGTTTCCAGGAAGCTTCTTACCCTGTAAAATAGACATTACCATAAAAAAATCATCACAGGAATAAAAATGTTAAATGACCTAACCTTGGACTAGCTGTGCTGTCAGGTCTAAGAGTCTGGCTTTGAGGGTTTTTTGTGTTTTGTTTTTTGGCATTTCAAATGTATATCCTGTCTTGTTTGAACCCTTGTTGCTTGTACAAACAAAACAAAAACATGTACTACTACCCTCCACATTTTCCCCTAAAATGAGAACGCAGCTGTCTCTGCATGGCGATTCCCTGCATAGCGCTGAGAGAATCAAGTCTGTGAGTTCCTCACAGATCGGGAAGAATTCAGGAAAGGGTGTTCATTGTCACAAAGTTGTTGCATGGCTTTTTGGGCTCTCTGTACGCTCTGTTGTATGATTTCATACTTGCTGCTAATGAATGAGCACAAAGAGACATCAGATTTTGGTTTAGGGTGTCCATACCACAGTTACAGTATATTTATACCACACATACCTGTTGGGGGTTTTCTTTTATTTGGTTGGTTTTTTTTGTCCCCCCCAATCTTTCTTTTTTCCCTCCCTGTGGCAGTTAAAAGACCAACAGCATTACTCACCTTGCACTTGGTTTGTACACTTAGAAGGAAAAAAATTTTTTTTGAATATGATGCCTGCTGAACCAGGTGCCTTAATCAGTTATATGAGAACACAAATCTGCACCTTCTGTCAGTCTGGAGGGGGTTTCCCTACAGAAACCAGGGACTGGGTTTCCCAAAACCTAAACTTGAAGTTCAATAATGAAATGAAAACCTCATCTGAACCCTAAATCAGTGCATTTTATAGAATAGTCAACCTAAGAGGCAGATGAGAGCTGTTAGTCATGTCTCGATCGTAGAATAGCCTTGCTGAAGAAGAGCAGAAAAGACAACCTGTAAATTGAATTGTTTTGGGAAACCTGGTTCTGTTTTGAACTCTTTCTCTGCCCACTATGCCACGTTATCGTGTATTCTGCATTGGCTGCTGCTGCTATCACCGCTGGTGTGTCTGCGTAGAGAAGAGCAAACTTCCACTGTGTCTGAGACAGAGGGAGACTTGGGCCTGCTTTTTACCTAGACAATTAAAATGCATTCTTCTTCTTCTAAGGTTTCGACACGGAGCACTCTGTTGCTACCTTTTGAGACCTTGTCGAGACAGGAAAAAAAAAAGATCCCAAATAAACGCGAACTTTCCATTTCTTAACTTTGCTATAATGAAGTGCCAGACCCTCCTTGAAGTCAGTGTTGGCACTGAGTCGCAGGTTGCGAATGAAGCGACAAACTGAGCATGGAGGTACACTGTGGTGCTAATCTGTCAGTGGCTGGGTGCTAACATGGCTGTGTTAAATAGCTGTATTAGCCATATTATTCCTTCTGTTGATGACTCTGGTCAGTCTTGTGTTTCTGACTTCTGACCTGCTGTATGCTGATATAGCGAGGTATATAATTCTGCTGCTGCTGCTTTGCTGATGAATGTAGACTAGTCTTCCTCAGCAGGATCATACAGACAGACGAGCGTTTGGCAGAGCTTTTCCTGTTGTCTCAACAGAGGGAGACTCTTTGTCATCAGGATCCAGAAAGATCATGAATGTTGTATCTTTTAATGGCTGCTGTCCTGCTTGTGTGTTTCAATCTTTTTTTTATTATTATCAATATTATGGTTTGATATTTATGCTCTGACTCTATCAAATGTTGCACTTTTTTTCCCTAAATTATATTTTATTGTCATTTTCTCTGATCCCAGTGTTTTTGCCATTTCTTTATTTATTTGTTCGGTCCTTTAATTTAACAATGCAAGGAGACAGTGATTGGAGCTAGACTTTAAAGCCTTCCACTAAAGCAGTCTTTACCACAAGTCAGAGACTTGTCATGAGATTCACAGATCTTAATCAAAGTCACAATGAAACTAGAAACCGTTCATACAAAAATTATATATATTTATTTTTTTGACTGAAATTTTTCGGGCTGAAATCTGAGATTTAAAAATCAAAATCATGAGCAAAAAGTCTGGAAAAAAAACTGGGAATTATATCTTAATTTTTTCCCTCAACCTATTCTGTAAATAGCTTTTATGTACACACCTGTAATAGCATCTAGAGATGTAAATGTCACTAACTAATGCTCAGTTAGATTTAAATAAACTGAGCTCACCTATCGCAAATTGGAAAATAGACACTTTAACATGACGATTACAAACTTAAAAATAGTCAAATGTGAATCCAACTAAAATTAAGGAATTGTCCTATATTAGTTATTACTTACAAATATTTACTCTTTTTGTGCAAATAGAGTTATGATTGGTGTGACTGAGCTTCATGAGATGCTGCTGACATGTACCCAGACATCCTCTTGCATAATAGTCTAATAATGACTCCCTCCATTAAAGGAGCATTGCAACCATTTTTAAGTTGTAGATGATTTGTTTTCTTACTATAACTTGGCTGAGAAGTTTGATGTCACTGCAGCCAGCAGCCAGTTAGCACAAATACTGGAAACAGGAGACAAAGTAGGGCAGTTCTGCCAGTACTTTATAGTCACAAATGCACGTTTGTTTTTTTAGGTGATATAGATATATATGGGGACTCTCTTTTGGCCAGGCAACCAAAAGAAACTTCAGATGTTTGCTGTGATCAGAGATGGAGACTGAAAATGAAACTTTAAGCAGATTTAAGACTGAAGGTGGTCTAATGAGATAAAAATAATTCATTATTTTCTAAGTAAACCGGTCCAAGTCAGACTACAGTTTCATTGTGAGTTTGAATTATCGCTGTCTGTGGGGCCCATGAAGCGGAAGTTTAATAAGTCCTGAGAAAAGCTCGGTGGGTCACCAGACTGAACCTTGCCTTCAGGTGACTCTTTGGTCATGACTCTGGGCTGAGGTTCAGGTGCTCCACCGCCATGGAGCTGAGGTCAGGAGTTGGCTTGCTTGCGGTCTCTAACTTTTGGTGGGGAAAATTTAGTTTTAAGGAAGTAAAACTTTACCACTGCGCCAGAGATATTTTGCCCCTTCTAGGTGCTTTTTTAATTTTAATTTTTATCAGAAGGGCTTTGGTTCGCAGTTGTCTTGTCAGGGAACCCCTGAGATTAGCCAGGGGCCACTAAAGGCTGGTGGGCAGAGACCCCTCACCTTCCCCTTTGCAATGAATGATGGGGAAGGGTTAATCTCCTCTTCCGGCAGACTGATTCAAGCAAACAACCACCCACACTTAATAATAATAAAAAAGAAAACCCCTCTTTCTATTTCTACACACGTCCAACTCATCATCCAAACACTGCAATGATTTACATCTCCTTCCAGACTTGCCAAAATGCATGAAGCAAGAGACATTTACCGAAAAAAGACGGCATCTGTTTGGTTACTATTCTCTCTTTATAAATTTTAATAATGACAGACAGACGGAGGATTATAATAGGAAATCCATACAAGTCCAAACATGTAGCGGATGTGGAAGGTATCGGCCATACTGAGCTCCACAGCTACATGCCATTGTTACGATGCTTCTGGTCTTGTATGGTATTTGACTCGATCAACAGCATGGGATCTTTCTGTAGTTAGTCCTGTGTGTGTTCCTCTCCCCAGTCTCAGTAGGAGGGCTGTATTTCATTGCTAAGTGCTCTATAATAGATCTCTTGGTGATTATAATTTCATAAAGAAGCAAAACCTGCAGAAAAAGTGTATCCTGCTGAAACTAACTTGATCCTCTCTTTAGCAATGACGTCTATATTTGTAGTTCACATATATGCCTGTTCAAATACAATATCTTGACAGTTGTTATATTTATGTTGTGTAATAAATGTTGTGCTGGGTTTATACTTTTGTTTTGACTAACTTTTTGTTTAACGTTGTATTTTTATTTTTATTTTTTTCTCTTCTTGGAGGCACAGTGGGGGGCTTTATGCACAGGCATGGAAAAGTAAAAGACCTTTATTTTATTATTATTATTTTTTGGTTTGTACTGTAACAGCCCGATTCTCTTTCAGAGCTTCTGACAGTTTTTGTCTCTGGCTGCTCGACATTCTGCAGACACCTGCCCTGAATCTCTGTTGTGTAATTGTGCCTCTCTCTTTATTTTCTGTTCTTCTTCTTCTCCTTCTTTTTTTTTTTTTTTAAATCGTTTTTCTCTGTTGTATCAACCAGGAGTTGGTACCACAGCTCTGCTTGTAACCACGTTTGTCTGATTATGTTTATTGATTTTAATATCAAAACAATAAAACCATTAGCACCCCAGTCTGAATCTTGTTTATTTAACTGACCGAGTGTGTGTGTGAGTTTTCCAACCTGATTTTTATGAATGATTTTTGAATTTTTCATCGCTTAAAAATGTATTTTAAGCAAATGAGTTCATAAAGAGTTCAACAAGATATGCAGGAGAGCATTCCTGAGTACACAACAGATCCAATATTACAGCAGCAGAAGACCACACCAAGACTAAAATCAGCATGGGCTCACTAAAATTGCAGCATAAGTATTTGGTGCAATCAGCATGAAAGCATGGATCCACCCTGCCTTATATCAACAGTGGCAGTGCTGTAATGTTGTAGGGGATACTTTCTTGGTATGCTATGGGCCCCTTTGTGCAAACTGAGCATCATTTAAATAGCCCACCTGAGTATTATTGCGAGCATGTCTATCCCTTTACGATAGCTGCTTCTAGCATGATAGTTCACCACGGCACAAAACTCAGATCATCTCAAACTGGTTTCTTGAACACGACAGTGAGTTCACTGTTCTCAAACCTGCAGCAACTGTGTGACGCTGTCATGTCAGTATGGACCCAAATCTCTGAGGAATGTTTCCAGCACAATCTATATATAAATAAAACGGGATCATTCAAGCGAAGTGAAACTTAAGATCTTCACCAGTGTTTCTGGTTGATTTTTGAGTAATGCCATATTATCTCCTCCACAAGTAGTGTCTGTGAAATGGAGAGATGCCTTTATCCAGCCAAAGAGAACCACTGATAGGAACACTTCTGCTGATGGCTCTAAATTTATTTTTGCCACCAACAAATGTCATTGGGAGACTACAACTGAAAGCAGACAGCTGCTTCTACTACATATATAATTTCCTTGATTCTTTTTTAAAAAATACTTTAATATAATTTGATGCCCTACATGTACACCGCAGTGGTGTGTGGGATGGCGTCTCTCCCCCTCCCAACCTTTTCATAATGAAAGAAAATGTTTCCCAAAGCAACAATGTGGCTCACTGATGTGTTTATTAGGTTTGGACACATTCAGAAAAGGGCTACATCTAAACAGGAAGTGCTTATGATTAAGTTCTATTCATGGTTTTATTGTCTTTTGTATATAACAGTATCGAAAAAGACCACATTAAAATAGCTCTTCCACTCTTGTATTGTACATATTTTGCTGGTTTGCTGCTGTTTAGACAAAGCACAAAGTCTATCAGAAAAAGGGAGAAATTTCTGTCTGTCTTTGTGTCTGTTATCTTGACAGGGTTACTGCTGGGAACACGGATCAGACATGGGCCTCCTTTTTCCTTTACAGGATTTCCACAAAATTAGCTGGTGTAAAAATGACACAAGACCCCCCTTTTCAGTACGTACTGTTAATACTAACACTTAGTAGAAAAGTAATAGTACAGGCTCCATCCATGATGTTGATGATGTTAATAAAAAAAAAAAAAAAAAGAGTATATTAGTAACAGCCGAGGCTGAATTAATTTTAGTAGTTTTTTTTTAGTTAAAAATGCCACTTTTGACTCTCTAAGTATAGTTTATATATTACAAACTTAAAATTATTTAGTGGTTCTGTTTTATATGATGTTTAAACATTTGAAAACACATTTAAATTTCAGTGTGGATCCTGTCTGTCCAATAAGTAAGGACAAAATTATAGTGGAGCTGCAGAATGATAAGTAACTGCACTTTTTTTTTTTTAAAGGAATTATAAAATCCTACTTAAGTATTTTTTTTGTTCATTTTAAGTAACATATTTATTTATTCCACGGATAATTAACATCCCACTACCGTTGGTCCTTCGTCTTTACCTCTTTTGGACCTCCAGCTTGCCATACAAAAACAACAATGGCGTCTTCTGCGGATGTTCACGTCCGAATTTGCGCACAAGAAATTATCAAATATGATCTGGAAATTAAAGCTCTCATTCAGGTAAGGAATGAAGAACGAGCGCCTTGTTTGTCCTTTCATCCTGAGCCATTTCTGAACCGTTGGTAACTCTGGAGAGCTGGCTGAACATGCGCACAACAGGTCTTCAAGTTGAGCTAAGAAGAAGCTAACGTTAACTTTCCGACAGTCAAAAGACACAACATTCTTGATTTTGTTTATTTTAATTAGGCAACAAATCATTCCTGAGACAGTTATAATACTTTTGAGTAATAAATCTCTAATTATTCAAATAACCGAGAGAAGAAAATGATCATTTATTATCAGATGTTATTTAAAAAAATATTTACGACGCACTCTTTGTTTAGTTCTGCGTTCGTGATATCCTAATTGGTAAGGGAAATTAAAATAAGTTAAAACAAATTGTTTTAGAAAATGTAAATAATATGAATATAAAAAAATATGTTGTTTTTTTTAATGGAGAAAAATGTGCTAAAATTTATACTGTATATCCTGAGCCAGATGGTGGAACGGCGGTAAGCTGAGGTGCAGAGACACCTGCCCTATCAAAAAGTGACCGCCAGTGTTTCTTTGTCTAATGTCTCTGGTTATATTGCTAAATAGCTCTAGTCAACAGGATTTAAAAATGGATTTCATATATAAAGTAATAAAAAATGACATATTTTGCAAGTATTTTTATGGTTCTACATTACATTGCAATCAATCAAGTCCTTTTGGCCATTTAAAGTATCTTTATACAGCTGTTATATTTGTATAGATTTCTGCTGCCCTCTTGGCCAGATCATCACTGACAGCTGATGTCCATTGGTGAGGGCCAGAATGTAGAACAACCACTAAATCTCTTTTCACCACAGCAGGCAATTACAGTGCCACATCCCCTACTTCCCCTTTCCCTCTCAAGACCCCGAGTTGCTTTGAACTCCACCACTTGGGGGCAGCAGCTCATGTGTAGTGGTGGACACACCATTTCTCAGCCACCTCACACTCTGCCGCAAACTGCTCCACTGCAAGCTGGAGGTCATTGCTCGATTCAACCACCAGAACCACATCAGCAAAAAGCAGAGATGAGATCCTGAGTCCACTGAATTTGACTGCCTCCACCTCTTGGCTGCACATAGAAACTGTCTTCCAAAAAAACTTGTGAACAGAATCAATGATAAAGGGGCAGAGCTGGTGGAGTCCAGGATTCACAGGGAATGAGTCTGACTTGCTGCCAAGCTCTCAGTACACTGTGTACAATGACAAAACACTTTATAACAATGGACAGGATGTCTCATACTCCTAAAGCACAAGCTCCTTTGCTCACACAAAGATATGTGCATTTATGAATTCACATGATGTATGTCTTACTCGATGTGATATAATTATAAAATATAACTAATACATTATATTTAACTCAATGTGTGTGTGTTGTCTGTAGGACATCAGGGATTGTCCAGGACCTCAGTCTGCTCTTGTGGAGCTCAATGCTCAGGTCAAAGAGAAATTCAACAAGCTGAGGCTCAGAATTCAGGTCAGGCCTCAGCTACACATCCACACGGTGCTGCATCTGACAGGGTTTTGGGTTTTTTTGCTTAATATTGGATCTGTGTCATGTGATGCCATGATGTTGTTGTTTTTTTGTTTCTTCCAGGATCTGGAGCAGATGGCCAAAGAGCAGGACAAAGAGTCAGACAGAGTGGCCATCCAAACAGAGACCGAGAGCCAATGGAAGCAGATGCTGAGGTGTTTAGACACAGACGCACACAGACACATCTAAAAAAAATAAGCCTGTGCAGCACCAGTCATTTTATTTTCCCCTTGAATCACTTGCCTCGTGTCCCAGTGAACATGTTGTTGATTTCTGTTTTGTTGCGATGATAATGTAAACTGGAAATGCAGACACAAGCGAGCACTTAAGATGGAAAAAAAAATCTACAACAGAAACTTTCAGTCTCAAAATTGTTTGCTTTTTCTTGTCTGTCTTGTCAGCAACCAGACAGCGTGGAGAAAAGCTAACCTGGCTTGTAAACTTGCCATAGATAACATGGAGAAGGACGAACTGCTGCATGGTGAGGAAAACCACAACACCAGACAGAGGTAAATATAGTTTCTGCCAAGGCTCTGCTACAGAGCACTGTACTACGAAGACAGTTCAGTGTACTCCGAGTTTGTTTGCGTTATGTAGATTCCCGTACTTCTACACCTGGTTAGAGCTGCTGATATGCAGTCTGAACTTTGATCAGTGATTTTTGTATACCTGCAGCCAAACAGGAGGAAATTAATTTCACCTGTATTAATTTACCTGGTTTCTGTTTAGCTGTAAAAGGCTGATGGGGTATTATCGTTACCCTGCCGGGCAGAGACATCGTACACACCTTGAGAACAAGGCTGCTTAGGATTTTCAAACTGATACCATAGTTTCTGTCAGTAACTTCTATCATCTACTTCCTGTAGTTATTACCATTACACTGTTTTCTTTCTGTTTTTTAAGCCCAGGCCACCAATAATATTTCTGTTTTACACAGATGTGTGTTTATGTTTATGGAGTGTTATCAGATGAATCGCAGTATGACAACTATGTCAAAACAACAGCTAATCTGATGTACACTGAAATACAGATACACTTGTTAACATCTGTAAAACTATCTTTTGTCTAATGTCTGTGGTTTAAAATGCTTTCATGAACGATTATTAAATAAGATTTTTTTTAATTGTTGCTTTTGGTAATTTGTGATTTAAAAAAATTGATTAAAAACTGGCACAAATGAACCAAAAAAGATAAATGAATATAAAAATAGAGTGGCTAGTTGCACTGGTGGTAGAAACACAAGGTTCTAAACTACTTAATGAGAAAAAGATTCCTTCTAGTCTCCAATAAATCACTTTAATATAATCTAATAATAAATTAGGCATGTCAGGACCCATCTGCAGTACTTCACCTGCTCTGTTCTGTGTGTGTGTGTGTTTTTGTCTCAGGAAAGCAACCAAGGAAAATTTAGTGGAAACCAGCAGCAACATCACAGAGAGTCTGATGTCTATCAGCAGGATGATGTCTGAACAGGTGAAGCAGAGTGAGGACACCATTGGCACTCTAGGTAAAAATCTAATTTTATGTTTCAGTCTCCTGTCCACATTTCCTAACCGATCCTCCTAAACCCTTAATGCCTTGAATTCTTCGTCCTCCTTATTCAGCCACCTCATCCAGGACGGTGCAGGAAACCAACGAGGAGTTTAAAAGCATGACAGGAACCATTCACCTGGGCAGGAAGCTCATCCTGAAGTACAACCGGCGGGAGCTGACAGACAAGCTGCTCATCTTCCTTGCACTAGCCCTCTTCTTTGCCACTGTCCTCTACATCCTCAAGAAACGTCTCTTCCCCTTCATTTAGTCGGCCGCCTGGGTCTGTTTTTCCTCAAGGACGTGGGGACTGGCTTGGAATGAGTTACCACAGTGAATTGTAGGAGGTATGAAGTAGAAGCATGAACCACACGGACTCTTAGAAGCAGCACTGAAACTGGACTGTAGCACACAGAGGCGGCGTGAAGTGGGAACGTGTTACTTCTTACATATAATATGCAATATGAAGGGTTGGAAAATATCTGAAGCTCAAGATCCACTTCAGCAGTGAAAGGAGCAAAGTGAGTAAAACTGACATCCAGAGTTTCATAGAAAACATTAAGAAGCCACAGCCTGCCTCGAGTAGATATGGTTATACAATGCATTGTCAAAAGTTTGAACGCATGTTGCAAATGGTCACAGTTGAAGAAGGGATCTGCTGCTTTTTAGCCTTTTCCTTGATGCCTCACACTGCCTCCCTGGTGTTACAGTAAGGACTCTGTTATCTTAATGTGACCATTTCTATCATTCTGGATGATGGGTCTTTTTCAGAAAGCCTGAACTTGAGGAAATTCATGTGTTTACATTGAAATTTACATTAAATTGAAGTAAATACAGAGAGCTTAAAGGTTCAGATGCTCATATTTGCCAAATTGTGTGCAGTTTTTGAAATGTTGATACCTTGAAGCACACTGTAGGTTTAATAATGCAATAAGACAGCATCTAAAGATCAGCAGCCTGTATGCTCATGTAATATCTCTTTGTACCCCTTCAGTCCAGCGTAAAAGGAAGAAAAGGTAGTCTGTGATTCTGCCCTCATGTCAGTCATGTTGAAAGGTTGGGCGTTAGAGACTAAAGCAAGGGACCACTGGAGGCTTGTTTTAAGCCTCGATTGCTGCAAATAAACAAAATCCATCCAAAGAGGTGATCTGCGTGATAAAATGTTTCAGCTTATGCAAAATATTCACGTCCTCCAAGCGGAGGGCAACCTTATTTGAATTCAGCTGGAGCTTCACTTTTACACAGAGATGGGAAGAAAAGAGGGGGACAGAAAAGTGAGCAACATTGTAGGACTCCATCTACTCCTGTTGAGTCATGGTTGGTTTCTGAGCTGTAGTAGTATCTTCTGACTTAACCAGCCTTTAATTCTACAGCTTAAGAGAAAAGGGGGAGAAAAAAAAAAAAAAAAAAAAAAAAAAAAAAAAAAAAACCAACCCCAAAGCGGGTTGCCCTCCTAGTGTCCAGTACCTTTAATTCAGAACTAGTCAGGGTCATGGTTGCAAAATGCACCAACCTTTGTTTTTGTTTGCTTTTGTTATAAAGTGAATGTGCTCAGAAGTGTATTTAGTGTAAATTTTTTTTTTTTTTTTAAACCTCATGCCTTGCTTCCAAACTACTGAACCAGTAATCCAATGAATGATTGTTGCCCTAAAGGTGTCAGATTGTGTGAATGTTGAACAAAAGCCCCGTGGGTTTGAGTTCATTTAAAAGTCTCAAGCACCAGCAGATGTCTTAAAACTCAAAATAAGTTTGAACTGCAGTGCTGTTAAAAGACTTGTTCAACAGGATAGGACTAATTTAAATAACACACTTCTGTTTGTTCATCAGTATCACTTTATTTTAATAAAATTCAAATAACTGTTCAGAGTTTGTGATCCATTGGAGAGGAAAAAAAAAAAAAAAAAGTACAACATTCGACACCAGAGGTCTGTATGAAATGTGAACAAGTGAACATTAAAAATACATTTCTAACACATATTGACCGATGAGTGCTTTCCTTTCTGCACACTGCGCCTCATCTGTTTCTCCATGGTACACAATATGACTTTCTCCATAAATACAAAAGCAGATTCATAACTCTGTTCCTAAAATGTTGTGATGCTGTGTAAAGGTTCAAATTGAGCAAATGTTTTTCATGAAACAGTAAAGTGTCCCAGTTTAAACACTTGGCATGTTTTCTATGTTCAATACTGAATAAAATATAATGCATTCTAATGGTATTTAGATTTTACACAGCGTCACAACTTTTTTGGAACTGGGCTTGTAAACAGGATACTGACTTGGAGCCATGAGCTACACTTGACCTACTGATTCCGTGTGTGTGTACGTCTGCTGCTGAGCTGCAGTGGTCTGTGAGATTGAAGTGAGGTAGATAATTGTTCTTCCATCCTTAATGGAGCACAAATGCCCAGCAGATTGAATAAGTTATGATGCATTACTACACTGAATACTTTTAGCCACTACTGCTAGTATTATAGAATTGTGTACTCAGTTTCCATCTGTCTGTAGAGTGACACTGGATTTGTCAGACACAACTGAATCTGGTTCAGTTGTGTTGTCTATATGACTGAGCCCATCCTCTGGTTTAGCCTCTCTTGTTTGTTGCTGCAGGGGTCCCCCAGCAGCGATGGGCCATTGTGCACTGGTGGATGGGGAAGTGCTTTGGTCGAGGGTATCGGATTGGCAGAGGGGGCAGTTTCCGGCAAGGCTGCTGCAAAGCGACCCCCAGTACTGCTCGCATTGTTCACGCAAACGGCGTCCGACCCACGTCTTGACCTCCTCTCCGCACTTCAGCAGGAAGTTCGTCAGCTCCACGTATGGCCTGGCAGGATGCGAATACATCAGGGTCATCAATAAATACTTGGCTGTTTTGTCCAAATGTACATTTAGAAAAATTGTCACTTACAGGAAGTGCCAAAAACAATAGAATGTCCAAGTTTCATTCATTTTTCCATTTGAGCAATTAATGACATAATTTTGAATGCATTTATTTGTACACATATATATCTATCAAAACAATAAAATTGTGGCTGTTAGTAGTTAATTTGTGTGCGTTTGCGTTTCTCACCCAGGGGGAAACATTAGGTGAAACTGCACCAGGTTTTCCACGGTGTCCATGTGATCCCGCAGTGCCAGGCAGAGCTGGTGTTTGGTGTAGCACTCCCTCTGAAGCACGCACACCATCTCCTTTATCGCCGAACACCGCCGGCTGATGCAGCTGAAACGCTGCCGCAGCCCCAATGCCAGGCACCGCAACGTGTCCTTCACAAATGCTTTGCCCTGAGAGAAAGAGAACAGTGAGTGAACAATTACAGGGAAACCTATACACACACACACACACCCCCCAGCTGGTGAACTCGCCCAATCGTCAGTGTATTTGGCCAACTGCTTAACTGGAGTAAGGTCATTTGGTGCTGCTAGTGCATTAGTACAGTATGTGAGGAAAAACAAAGATATAATAAGAGGGTGGCTGTGCATGTACAAAGACAAATTTGAATCTGCGAGTTAAGCAGTGAAGAAAACAGAAAAAACCAAAAAAAAAACCTGTGGTGCAGACCTAAACAAATTTCAGATTGTCATCTATACCCTCAACAAGTGCCCCAGCGATAAGTGGTGCACACTAAGAGAATGGTAAAGGCCTAAATGCTCGACCCCTACATTGAGGGGATCCGGTGGCTCTGTAATGCTGTGGGGGGCTTTTTGCTGGCACGTATTGGGTCTTAGGGGATCTGCAAATCTCTACAAAATTCTTCTGGGTGATCATCTTTATCATGTTATGAAACATTTCTACCCCAATGGGAAGAAGCCCTGAAGAAGTTTCCTGCAACACTTTATCCTTTAATCCACGACCATCTGTATCAGGTACATTCACTTAGAGATCTTCAAAGAACATCATCTTCTGTTTCTGCTCAAACTGGGGACACATTAGGCCTGCATCATTTTCTCATACATTTCTATTCTAGTAATGTGGACAGGATGTTCCTGTTCTCTCCTTTCACTTCCCCTCTCACGCTGTGCTGTAACTGTGCTGCCATGCATAACGATACACTGCTTCTTATACAACAAGCATTCCTCACAAATGACCGCAATGATGGAAGGGATTAAATGAAATAAAAACATGCATCCAGATACGCCTTCTCCAACCCTGCCCAGGAAACTTCTGAACTTCCCCTCAGCCTGTCAGTTAGTGCCCCACAGGCGTAACGACACAACTGACTTAATGAGTTTATTTTGTGTGAATGAATGTGAGACACACTGGCTTATCCTCACCTGCGAGTCGTAGTGTCCAGCGTTGTGCAGCAGAGTAAGACATATGTGGTCCAGCCCTCGGATTTCACAGGAGTTGTTGCTCAAACACTGAAACATCCCACAGCCAACATCAGCTGAACTCAACAGGCAACTCTGGAGCTCCGCTACGAGACACAGTGAGAGATCAGCATTAACTTTCCAGGTGAATGTATGTGCCAAATAATATAATATTAAAAACAATACACATCCACTGTCAAGCCTCAGACCTTTGGCCTTCACTTTTCAGAAATTAGTATTGTGCCATACTGCAAATTTTTCATATCAATCCAACACAAACGAAATGCAGGGCCAGTAATAATAATAATAATGATAATAATAAATAATAATAATACTTTTAACTTAAACAGGCAGCTTATGTAGGGGAGAGGAGTGCGTCATGATTTAGTAGATGAATCATCCATTTGCAAATTCTGATCACATTTTAATGACCGCAAAATTACTGTGTTTTTTGTTTACTTCCCACAATAATTAATTAACAAACAAAGCACACCTTTCAGCTTTTCATACATTTTGACACTCATGTTTTTGGAGAGGTATACATTTTTCCATTTCCAAAACAAATAAAAATGTATTAACAATTCACTGGGCTACATACTGAACTTAAGATAGAAACAAAGTATCGATCCTGTCAGCTAATATGGATCCACGTTGGTATCGACAGTATCATGTTTGGATCGAGCCCCTCAACTATCAGAAACCTATCTGTAAGTGTACAGAATGTAAATATGAGGATTTAGACATTTAAATGTTAGATAGTACTTTTTGATCAGCTTTCCTTACAGATTAGACACATAAAAGCACAACCAGAATTCATACATAAGGCACACTGTCGATTTTTGAGAAAATGAAAGTATTTTAGTGAAAGGTTAGAGTCCGGAAAATACAGTATACGAGTTATGTAAGGTAGTTTGTTTCGGGCCAGGAGACAGCACACAGTTTCACACACACACTCTTCATTTTGCACTTTATGGCGCTGTTGTAAATGGTGAAAATACTACTAGTGCTAGTTGCACGTTAACGAGGTAACCGCTAACGCTAACCGCAACACTAACGCGTTGACGCCGTGCAGCCCCACGCACGGGGCGATCCGCGGCAACTCGTTAACGGAGACTTGTCGCGTTAATACAGTTATGGCGTTAACCTCATTTTAACGAGTGTAACGCTGCAGCACTAAAATAGTAATCTCCAAATGTTCTCTTTTTACCGACCAGCGCCTCTTTGATAGCTGCCGCGTCCATCTTGTTAGCTGCAGGTGAAGCGATGGGGGAGGGGGAGTTGTGTTAGTGAAGGAGAGGCCGAGTAACACGTAGAGAGACAAGCGAGACAAACTTGCGGTTCCATGACTATTATAACGTAACAGTCTATTTAAACGATATAGTCACACAGCTTATCTCGTATAAAAATATATCGATATATTTTTTAAAAACTCGATATATCGCCCAATCCTAGCTAGAAGCATACTTTAACGGGTAAAATTAAGTGGCAAGCCGTCTTGGCTTTATGAATATGAGCCACAAGCATACTCTGATGGGAAAAGTTAAGTGGCAAACCATCATACTAACTTAACTTTGTGCTGGAATTACTATGACAGAAATGTGCATAAACTACTTATGGTAGGACGTGTTGCCAAAGTAGGATGTTTGTCAGAACACCGGGAAGGGGATACAGAGGGAATGTGCATGGACAGGGTCGAACCACCGGAGTCGCGCATTGAATTACAGTCACCAACAGCACAGGAGGTTAGAGAGGCGCGCACGGCCAACAGGTTGTCTTACAATGAGATTAAATGCGCAATAAGGGGGAGAAAAAAGTAGCACCCCTCAAGCTCTTTTTTAGGGCCAACAAGGGCCTCGGGCATGCGCGGCATGTAAAGTTTTCTTCAAAATGCAGTTTCCGACGCTTAAATGCGACCGTTACACGACCTGTGAAAACTTGCACGTGGCGGCTCACCTGTACTCTGCAAAGAGAGGCGCCTTCTCATCTGGCTCACTTCTTGCTCCAGAACATCATGCTGGTCGTTGGTCAGCACATGACACACCAGCAGCAGGAAAAACACAGTGGAGACTGCGGACGCGTTCACCGGCATCACTGAGGTCGAGTCAGCGTATGTGCGGTGCTCTTTTCTTCTCTTGGTAGAAGTTCGCGCAGCTAGAGCTCGACGCCTTTGAACAACTTTACTCTGTGACCAGGAGATCGAGGCTATATATAGAGCCGCAGGAGACCGGCGCGTTCACGAAGGCTGGGTCTCCACCAATCACAGCCTAGCGCCGTGACCGCGCAGCACTTGCGCAGCTGAAGGTTTATCATTGATGAGAGTAAAAGAGGAACCTCCACCCCCTCACCCCAGCAGAAGATCCATGAATTTGAAAACAAAAACAGACAAGTAGTGATTTCGGGTTTTTTTGGTTTCTTGGTTAAAAAAAACAAAACACGAAGTGGGAAGGATCACGTTGAGCGAACACACAAAAGAAAGTGAATCCCATTCCCATCAGCTCTCCCCAGAAGTGAAAATGTTCTTATAGAGGCCGCTTGTTCCTCCAGAGTCTGCGGGGGTGTGTTTGACGGCTTGCAGCTGCTTTCTTGGCGAGGCGCAGAGGCGTGCAATGAGGAACGTGTCAGACGCGCCCGGGCTGCAGCACATGGGAAGAGCACCGCGTTTTTCCAACTGTGAGGAAATCCTACAGTTTTCCTACATCATATTAGCGTGAAACAACTTCTGCGTAAACACGCAGCATTTTTATACTAAAGATCCAGGAACACTTTCACACGCGAAATACTTAATCTTTTATAGATCTCTCAAAAGGCACTAAGCAGCGCAGGTAGTATGACCCGTTGTCCATGAGGACTGCTGAGACTGCACAGCAGCCCACTCCGCTTTTTGAGACATTGTCCCACATTGTGATGTGTTGATCTATGGCTACATCTTTACTGACAACCAAAGAAAATGAGCAAACAGAAGTAGAAGTACCAGTGCACTGCAATAACTTCTAAAGTAACAGTTTTAGAAGTTCTTTTAATAGAAAGTGAAAATATAGATGTGCACAAAAGAGCTATTGCATAGCCTCCATTTACATTCCCAAGACTTCAAGTCAAAACTGATCTAAAGTAAAATATAGTAGCTATAGTTAATTATCCTTCACATCTTTGATACTAAACCTATAACCTGCACAGTTTGTGCATGTTAGGAATATCAGACCACCTTCCAGTAATCGCTCCATATTATTTCACCCTAATGTCACCAAAGACACTACTGGAGCTGGAGGCAATACTTAATGATTAATTTGAGAATACTTAGATATTTATCTGTGTGAGACTTAGTTACACATTCAAGTGTTGTTGCCACCTATTATCAAGTTTTTTGTTTGCTTCCCGTGAACAACTGGCCAATCAAAATTGGGTCAGCAGAGACTCAACTAATGTTTGATCAACTATTAAAGAACAACTTCAACTTTTTAACACCTGTCAGCCTAGAAGAAGCAACTTTTGAAACTTAGGGAACAAAATATCTGGGTTTGCATCAGAGGTTAGTGAGGGCGGTCTCTGCCTATGCAGTCACCCTTGGAAAGACCCACCAAATATTCAACTTGAGGTCAAACCACAACTTTATTGAGATAAACTAAGGTGTCTAGACTTTACATTAAGAGAACAGGCAAGGTCGTCAAATGTCATTTTGACATTGGGGAAAGAGTTAAAGAGAAATAAATCCACCAGCACTATCTGATATCAGTTAGAAAATAGCACCAGTGCTCATATCATGTAAAATCATTCAATATAGCCAGACCCCCTTTTAACACTTTATACCAACAGTAACCATAAGCTCGTGTTATTTGAGCAGGAAGGTGGAGGAGAAGCCAAAAAACCCCCAACATGTAACAGAAAACCTGAAAAGCTGAATACATACATGAATAGCCTGTCATTCACAGCAGTCATGCCCTTACTTTTAAGCCTTGATACAATTTAAAGAAGTGAGTTTTAGCTGCACACGAACCTGCAGAGTTAACAGACGTGAACCAGTCAGAGTAACTGCAGTGGCACCTTTGCATATGCATGTTTAAGAATGTGTACAGCTCTCTCCTTTTACATTTATTTTTGCAAAAACGTTCAGCTGTCAGGACAGATTTTTTTCCTACAAAATCATCGTGGCCAAATAGATTTGCAATAATTGTAGTAAAGATTAATACTACAATATAAAAATGGATATGGATGGATATCAGGAAATCAAGGAGAACCTGTGCAGTCCTGTGTGGATGCAATTTGGTCTAAAATTTGTTGGACAAAGGAAATTATTGTAGTTTTTATTTACAGTGGCTTGCGAAAGTATTCGGCCCCCTTGAACATTTCCACATTTTGTCACATTACAGCCACAAACATGAATCAATTTTATTGGAATTCCACGTGAAAGACCAACACAAAGTGGTGTACACGTGAGAAGTGGAATTAAAATCATACATGATTCCGAACATTTTTTACAAATAAATAACTGAAAAGTGGGGTGTGCGTAATTATTCAGCCCCCTTTGGTCTGAGTGCAGTCAGTTGAACATAGACATTGCCTGATGAGTGCTAATGACTAAATAGAGTGCACCTGTGTGTAATCTAATGTCAGTACAAATAGAGGAGGTTGTCTAAGAGAATATTGGGAGCAACAACACCATGAAGTCCAAAGAACACACCACACAGGTCAGGGATAAAGTTATTGAGAAATTCAAAGCAGGCTTAGGCTACAAAAAGTTTTCCCAAGCCTTGAATATCCCACAGAGCACTGTTCAAGCCATCATTTATAAATGGAAGGAGTATGGCACAACTGTAAACCTACCAAGACAAGGCCGTCCACCTAAACTCACAGGCCGAACAAGGAGAGCACTGATCAGAAATGCAGCCAAGAGGCCCATGGTGACTCTGGACGAGCTGCAGAGATCTACAGCTCAGGTGGGGGAATCTGTCCATAGGACAACTATTAGTCGTGCACTGCACAAAGTTGGCCTTTATGGAAGAGTGGCAAGAAGAAAGCCATTGTTAACAGAAAACCATAAGAAGTCCCGTTTGCAGTTTGCCACAAGCCATGTGGGGGACACAGCAAACATGTGGACGAAGGTGCTCTGGTCAGATGAAAACAAAATGCAAAACGCTATGTGTGGTGGAAAACTAACACTGCACATCACTCTGAACACACCATCCCCACTGTCAAATATGGTGGTGGCAGCATCATGCTCTGGGGGTGCTTCTCTTCAGCAGGGACAGGGAAGCTGGTCAGAGTTGATGGGAAGATGGATGGAGCCAAATACAGGGCAATCTTGGAAGAAAACCTCTTGGAGTCTGCAAAAGACTTGAGACTGGGGCGGAGGTTCACCTTCCAGCAGGACAACGACCCTAAACATAAAGCCAGGGCAACAATGGAATGGTTTAAAACAAAACATATCCATGTGTTAGAATGGCCCAGTCAAAGTCCAGATCTAAATCCAATCGAGAATCTGTGGCAAGATCTGAAAACTGCTGTTCACAAACGCTGTCCATCTAATCTGACTGAGCTGGAGCTGTTTTGCAAAGAAGAATGGACAAGGATTTCAGTCTCTAGATGTGCAAAGCTGGTAGAGACATACCCTAAAAGACTGGCAGCTGTAATTGCAGCAAAAGGTGGTTCTACAAAGTATTGACTCAGGGGGCTGAATAATTACGCACACCCCACTTTTCAGTTATTTATTTGTAAAAAATGTTTGGAATCATGTATGATTTTCCACTTCTCACGTGTACACCACTTTGTGTTGGTCTTTCACGTGGAATTGCAACTTTAATTTAAGCAGTTTAACAAAAGTATTTCATTAACTGTTTAGGAACTATGAATATTTTATTACACAGTCAGCCATTCCAGAGGCTCAAAAGTAATCGTACAGACATACAAACATAACTGGATTGTTTTAAAAGGTTGTTTGAAAATCATTTGCAGTCATTCTCTCCCTAAAGTCTATATCCAACGGACCAATGTCTTTGCGAAACAAATTATGGACCTAACTGTACGCGCCCACTCATGTGTGTCCGTGCTATGAGCCATAATTTATATTTCTTGTTAAAATATTAAGCAATGAAATTAATTCCTAAAAAAAAAAAAAAAAAAAAAAAAATCAGATGGTACATTTTGAATAAAGACCAGCCTCCGATGTCGTGTTTTTTCTCTCCTCATCTTGCACTCTATCTGTTGTGGTTAAATGTTTTGACTCGTGTCTTGGAGTTTCATCAGAGTCTCCATACGAGCTAAACAAATACCTCATCTCTCTTACTCTCACTCTACTGCTCAACTACTGGCAGCTTAGCTTCATCTTCACTGCATTCAAGTGGCCTTCAGCAGGACTGACTGAGAAACATTGTGTGTGCGTTGCAGCAGGAGGTCAAGGAAAAAAGGACAGAACATGTTTGTGTGTGTTCATGCAGGGGCCCAGTATAGGAAGACATCCTCTCACACGGGGTAATATTTGGACGTTTGAAGACTATTTTCATAACTTTTCAAGCTGATTCGGCCTCCCATAACTTGTGGTGACCACCCACACAATGACCCTTCACTGCCAACAACAAACATGCACACTCGCATGTTCAAAACAACACCAGTGCACACACATCGCTGTGCAAATAGTATGTATGCAGGGCCTTCTTGTTCTTGCCCTCTCATGATAAACATGATACATGTCTGCCTCATTGCATACACAAATCAGACTCACTACTAGATGTAAGATGTTTATGTATGTGTTTTGTACAATAGGTTACAAAACTTGGACAACTTCAGGGATGATATAACTGGTTTTAAATGTCCCAAACCACAATGACTGCATTTTTTAATTTATGTCACTAATGTAGCCATAATATAATTCAATAAAGTCATATTTTCAGCCAAAGCTTTTATTTTTAATCATTATTGTTTCATCAAAACACCTTAAAGTGAGGTTAGATGTTCCAGTTAGCTCTACATCTCTGTCGTGTTTATCTTCTTTTGCTTTGATTTCTACTAGATATCAATAAGTAAACATGTTTTTTTTATGATTCAGTTGAACATCTATAGATGATCACACGTATCACTGTATTGATGGACAGGAGGATGGCGGAGGATGACCAATGAATCTTACACAGTGCAAACATACACACGGTGCAAGCGTGTGGATCAGTCACCTGCCGAAAACAAGGAGTAAAATCAATAATATTAGCCGCAGTGACACACAAACACACTCACACACTAAGCCGACTGACTGACTTTAGGATTAAAGCCAGAGTTCATCGAGGATTTCAGAGTGACGGGGCTTCTCTTCAATGAAAACTGTAAGCACAAGAATCCCAGAGGAAGGGACACTGCTGCATAAACTTGGATGCTGATGATGCACATGACAAAAAAACATGTTTGAGTTCTTTTTCAATTTTTGCTCCTATAGTTTTGATGGTGTTTTTCCAGTACAGAATAACCATTCATGGTTTATGTATGTACCACACATACACTGCTGCATTTTTTGGCAATGATTTTCAATTAACACAACCGAGTAGCAGTTTAAATGTTGGGAATGGTGACAACCCGTGCACAGAAGACTATAGTGGACAAAAATATATTAGATCCGTAGTGGTTTAGGACTCCCAAAGAGAAGGAATTGGAAACAGTTTCGGTAAATGGTAGGTGGATTAGTTCTTATATAGCACTTTTCTATTCTACCTGAGCACTCAAAGCGCTGTCCAGGGAAAGTTTTGAAGCTACAGTTTAGAAAAGTTCAGTAACTGTCATGTGTTTGAATATTGTTTAATTCCTGAGTCTGTTCAAGGAAAGCAGTTGAGGACGTTCCCAAGCACGTCACAGTCTGACGTTTAACATTGAGAATAAAAAGATATTGCCTCCCCGTCGGGGAATCGAACCCCGGTCTCCCGCGTGACAGGCGGGGATACTCACCACTATACTAACGAGGAAGGTGTCTTCGGACTCGTATGTTCCAGGACCGATCGTGACTCAACTATGTCCACAGTGGGATAGTATTCCCGTTTCCCCGTTTTGATACGTTAAGTTGTACACGCCTGTAATGTGTATCAAGTGTTACGTGCAAATAATAGCGGACAGAGATTATAATGACTAGAAGCCTCAACGCAGAGTTCTCTACCGTCAACGAAAGACATAAAACCTCTTCCAAAACAACCATAATGAACGTATCACGTATAAACTACAACAGCGCCAGAAGACTATAGTGGACAAAAATATATTACATCCGTAGTGGTTTAGGACTCCCATTCCCAAGAATTGGAAACAGTTTCGGTAAATGGTAGATTGATTAGTTCTTATATAGCACTTTTCTATTCTACCTGAGCACTCAAAGCGCTGTCCAGGGAAAGTTTTGAAGCTACAGTTTAGAAAAGTTCAGTAACTGTCATGTGTTTGAATATTGTTTAATTCCTGAGTCTGTTCAAGGAAACCCTGAAACATTAAGGACCTTCCCAAGGATGTCACAGTCTGACCTTTAACATTAAAAGAATAAAAAGGTAATGCCTTCCCGTCGCGGAATATTTTTGGCCACTACGCTCTTCCGGCGCTGTTGCGAGTTTGAGATGCGGCGGCACTTTTAAAAAATCTCCACTTTTACCTTTCGGGAGAGAACAAGTAACTCACCGCTCGCAACACATCTCAACGATCCTCGTTCATTGATCAAAGGTAAGAAACGTCGTTTAAAATAAGAGTAAACCAACAGAATATATTGTGTATATTACAGGTAATAGGCGTGTTGCGACTGCATTTACGAAGCATCCATCGTTTAGTTAAAGGCGGTGGGAGTTTATCCGCTGTTGTAAAGTGGGACGGTAAATCATGAATGAACCTGCTCCTTAAATAAATTGCGTGTTCCATTGACGTGTTTTACTGTTAAATAAACTTTGTAGGTTTCTGACTGCTGTGACACTGACATTACTATAATGTAGTACAATTAAATAACCGATAAGTGGCTTGTTATGAGATGACATGCTAAATGACTGAACCTGCTTTAAAAAAATGTATTGCTTTCATGTTGTAATGGTCAGTCACCTTATCAATGCGAAAGTCTGTCTCGATATCTCACTAACATGAGCAATGCCCACTCGTGTATGAACACGATAGCTTAAATAGATATGTTGTTAAACTACCAGCAATTCTTATGTGCCATGACAACTAAGCAGTTATCACAAATTTTGCAGATATGCCAATAATCATTCAACCATGAAAGGTTTTTATTTACAGACAGAACAGTTTGTTATACCTGGAGGAAAAAACACTTTTATCCCAAATGTTATCAATGTTCTTTCAAATTGTGTCTCTTTATTGTTCTCCTGCATCCTGCTGTTAAGCCACAATGTGCAGCAAGATTATAACCTGAAATGTCTTTATTTGTGTTTGGAATTCATTTTGTGGCGTTCTGTAAGGGGCCACTTGGATACCTTCTCCAGGACCCGTCAAAAGAAGCTTCTCAAGCTTCAGGACAAGTCTGCACCTGTGAGGGAGGACGATGCTCTGACTGTCATCTATCAGAGAGGAGGGGATGCCTCTGACATGAAGGAAGTGCAGGGAGAGTACATCCTGCAGTTTGGAAAATATAAAGGGAAATCTTTCCGGTGACTTCTGGAGATTGATGTCGGGTACACCATGAACCTGATCAAAGATCTCCAGAAGCAAGAGGCTGCAGGGACCTCTGTGGAAGAAGGGCATGGCAAGGAGAGCTTGCATTCATTTGTACAGTATACCCTCAGCTTTACAGAGTTAAAGACTCTTCTGGACTAGGAGACCAGCAGAGTGAGTTTTGCAGCAGAAGCCTCTGAGGATGATCAGCTGGTTGGCTTTGGTTCACGAGCCAAGAGCACCTGGAAGGAGATTTGGGACGGCAGAGGTGACGGCTATGCAGACTTTATCATGAGGAAGAGCTGCAGTCAAGGAACATGGATGCATAAGCTGCAGTAGTACCTGTGGAAGAAGCAGCAGTTTGCGCCTGCTACTACAAATGCCCCAACTAAACAACCTCTTGGTAAGTTGTTTTAATAATATTTTAATAACTTTGTTGACGTGAAATATAAATTCAGTACATATTTGTCTAATTGTTGCTAATTTGTCTAATTGTATCCTCATCCATCACAGGGATGGATGAGGATAAAGACCTGGAGGATGCAATGCTGAGCATCTCACCTGTAAAACTACACATACAGAGCTGTAAGTACTGCGTTATAACTAAATGTCAGAAGTGATAATGGCTAAGTCTGTTTCTGTCTCATATGCCCCTGTCCTCTGTCTCTGCATAACTATTCACTGTGCCAGCAGCAGCAGCAGGGTCCACACCCAGAGGATCTTCAGGAGCAAACAAAGGTTTTCAAATGAAAGGTTTCAGAACTGGAGTAAAATAGTTTTACATGAATTGCTCTGCAAAGCTGAGCCTGAACGTGAACTTTTATATATTGTCTTGTTCTTGTGCGTTCTGGCCATGTTCCAGAGATGTTCCTCTAATAGTATAGTTGTATGCTGGCTGTATGGTGGAAGAAAACAGTTGATGTTGTACATGAGACAGTTTTGTTCTAGTTGTGAATGTTTCTTTTGTTTATATAAATAAAAACTGATTATAAACATAAAAGTGTAAATAAATAGTTTTCTGCAAAAATATCAACACAGTTTTCTTCTTAGAGTTCACCTATATGTTTATATATCTGTGTGTGCTCACCATCAGGTAATCAGATTTAATAAGTTGTGAGTGCTGCCCTGAAAGCTTACATAATATTTCTAAATCACTTCATGTAATGTTAACAAGCCATCCTTTCTCTAGAGGGGTCTCACAGCTTTTATCTTCATAATCTTTCTGTTTTCATTTATATTATTTGAAACATGACTACTGTCTTTTATCTTTGTGACTGTACAGCCTGTTTCAGAATTGACAACCACACAATGTCTGAAGTTATCTTTAATACATGCAGCACACAGCTGGAGCTGCAGACAGTTTCTCACTTCTGGTGATAATATTTTTGATTCAGGTATTGTTGCTTGCTAGCTTGAAGCTTATCTACAAAAGCAGTTCAATAAGGAGAGATCATGTGGAAAAACTGAACATGATTTATTGAGATACAGAAATAAATGTAACTGTTTGGCAGTTAAGACTTCAATGACCCATCATAGCAGAAAGAATCCCAGCAGTGACAGGATTTTGCACAACCACCACCCCAGAGTCAACATGCTGATAGTAATGAAGATGAAGATGGAGGCTGGGACAGGGTTCTGAGTGACCACAGTGAGGCGGAGAAAGGAGAGGAGGCGGGCTGCATGGCTGCGGATCTGAAACGCAGAAGCAGAAGAGCAACAGATTTAAACCATGCTCGGTGAAGGTAGGCAAGAGCATGACTGCAATAAAGTAATGATGTCAGTACTGAGTTTGTGCTGGAAAATGAATAGATATAAACTAGCAGTTTATAGTTTTAGCTTTAGTCTTTGTATTAAAATGTTGGATGTGTGCATAATTGTAGACTATATGTCTGGTATGTATCATCTCAAAATTGTGATGATACAGATTAGTCTGAGTTATGTAGTAATGCAGGAAAATTGCTCCACAGGCCAAAACACTATATAATATAAATAAAATGATAATCAAATAATAAGAAAAAGCAAAGTGAAAAATTAATGTTACCCACAATAAGTAAATTGAAAATGGTGTTTAACTTTTGATAATGTAACACAACCTTTGTCCCAACCAGGACTCGAACCCGCGCTCAGACAGTTCAGTATAAAAAAAACCAAACCCTTTTTTCCCCCAATGCCCGAAAAGCTGCCATTTGATTGGCTGTTTCTCCGTTTAACCTATGCGCAATGGGCCAACTCTATCCACAGTGGGCTAGTATTGCCGTTTCCCCGTTTTGATACGTTAAGTTGTGCACGCCTGTAATGTATTTCACGTTTTATGGTAGATGGATTAGTTCTTATATAG